TACTTTCTGTGCTTGAATAAAATAAATTCTCGTGCCATCTATGGCATAACGTGAGCAATGGAATTGTGTGCCTGTGTTTTAAGGATCGGTAGAGTGATAGGAGTTTTCTCTATTGCATTGCAATGAAATAAAATAACTGATATTGAAAATATAGATTCATTAGCACAAAAAATATTGCTATACTTAAAAGGAAGTAAAGATCAATTAACTAAAACAAGAGCAAGTAAATATGAGATATATCTAATTCCATTTATTGTAATTTTGTAGAAACAAGAGAAATAATTATTTTATATATAATAATTGTGCAATTAAATTAATAAAATAAATAATATTACAAATAATTTCTGTGCATATAAAAAACATATTTTTTAAATATAAAAAACATTCTTTTTAGTAATATTCACTGAAAGACACATGGAAAATTTATCTCATAAGGAATAACTGATGAAAAGAGTAAATATATATAATTGTATATAAAATATGTCCATATACGTGTACGTTTTTTTCTTGTATAATCTCTGTCCGTAAAACCAGGAAAAATAAAAAGAATAATTGAAAAATAATTAAAAAATAATTTTTGTATTGTGTTATTTCTTTTAAAAGACATATATAATTATATGTATATGAATTTTCTTCTTATACACAATTATTGTGTATATGGACAGTTTATAACTCGTATATAGATAATTTTATTACATTTTAAATCATAATCGTTTATTAATTACTTACGAATGAAAGAAAATGTTGCCATTTTTTCTCCAATATACATCATACAGCATTACTATTTCTGTTATTTAAATAAAAATATAAATTTTATATAAGAAAATTAGCAATGCAACATTAGATTTACAATTAGATATTTAAAATTTAATTATAACCACACTGCGTGATATATAAAACTGTTGACCATTTCTAATAATAATAAACATCATATCAAGCATGTGGTTCATACATTTGGTTAAATGAAGGATAGAAAATATAATATTTGCCATCTCTTTCTATCTACAGGAAAAGTATTAGGTATCTAATCTATTATTTTTGCATATATACTACCATCACAATTATCTCGTGAGTCTGATGCCGAATTACTACTTCTATCAGTAATCCATCATATTTAAAAAAATTATTATTTATCTTGTCGGTGTCTATACACATAACTACATTTACCACAGACTTCTATATATTACTATGATTTTATTAAACTGCATTTTTATTAGTAATAAATCTATCAGTAAACATACATTTGCAATTGAAAATTATCATTTAAATGTTATTATATATGTTGACAAATAAAGCGATTTTTATAATAAAAAGAAAAAGAATAGAAGAATAATGTACGGAGATATATTATTTATAATGATAGGATTAAAATGAAAAATTCATTTATTCTTAATTTGTATAATGTAAATAGAAGTTTATTTTTTCATCAAATAATGATTTTTTACATATATTATTCGACTAATGTTGTAGAAAAAATAGAAAAACTGTATAATCTCTATAAAATTGTCAAGAAAAAAACAATAGCGGCCATGTAAAAAGACCTCTATCACGAATTTATAATATAAGACGTGATGCTATTATCATTATTTTAATTTATCTATTAAATAAGATTCTAAGCTTCCAAATAAAACTTGTAGCTTGTGGCAATTTGGACGAATATTTTAAAAGGCTTTCTCTCAGTCTTCTGTTACATTATAAACTCTCTCTCTCTCTCTCTCTCTCTTATCCTTTTTCATCGACAAATAATTGTACATTATTACCATTTAAAGTAGATTAAAACTTAATTAATAAAACTTAAGTAGAAAAGCGCTATGACATGATTAATGTTAATATGAATTTATCTAAACGTAACAAACGTAAGCGTGTTAATACGTAATTACATAATTACGTTTAACGCAGCTTAAAACAACTATTGCGATTTTTAAAAGCGTTATTAAAAATACATGTATTATTAAATAATATGTATATCAAAAGTATGTATGTTATATAAATTATATATATATAAGGAAGATTGTAAAAATATATGAGAATTGATGAAAAGGCAAATTTTGTCTTTTAGACAACTATTGCGGAAACTTTTCAAGTATAAATTATATTATTTAAAGATAACTTCATGTCAACTTAATAAATTTATATGTTTCTTTCACGTAGATTTTTTTAAATAAATCTGAATGGAGATTCTATCTCTCACACATTCTTCTTGGTGACTATTAATATATATGTATCTCGCTTTCGTATATTGTACTTTCCTTTAAGGCCACAAAAGTTCTATGTTGGGAGACTGCAGTTTTGCAAATATTTTGTACATTGATAAAACAACCAGCCAACAATATATCTGAAAAAAATATGAAAGATATAATTATCAAAAATAACTTTGATAACGCGCACTATATGCGCTACACTTACGTTATAAGACATCCAGAGCCAATTGCACAATGTCGCGAATACGGAGTCCAACTAGAGCAAAAAACATACAGAGAAGCGATATGATTGCGAGTGTTTATCAGATGGTAAAAGAGTCATGGCCCAAGTAAAAAAAAAAGAAGACTCACATAAATATAATAACCGCCTAAAAGCCACAGTCCGAAGACTAACTGGAACAAACAAACGAGAAACCATCCGAGAAGCCACGGCAATAACCATCCACGTACACCTTCTTTTATGCCGTAAACCATTAATAAGGCGCTTATTATTAATAAAAGCAGATAAGTGATTAGGCAGCCTCCGACAACTTGCATGGCTAAAAATTATAAGCATTTTTTTTATTTTCTCTTTTTTTAGAGATATGACAATAAAAATATTGTTGAAACTAAGAGCCTCTCTCTCTCTCTCTCTCTCTCTTATCCTTTTTCATCGACAAATAATTGTACATTATTACCATTTAAAGTAGATTAAAACTTAATTAATAAAACTTAAGTAGAAAAGCGCTATGACATGATTAATGTTAATATGAATTTATCTAAACGTAACAAACGTAAGCGTGTTAATACGTAATTACATAATTACGTTTAACGCAGCTTAAAACAACTATTGCGATTTTTAAAAGCGTTATTAAAAATACATGTATTATTAAATAATATGTATATCAAAAGTATGTATGTTATATAAATTATATATATATAAGGAAGATTGTAAAAATATATGAGAATTGATGAAAAGGCAAATTTTGTCTTTTAGACAACTATTGCGGAAACTTTTCAAGTATAAATTATATTATTTAAAGATAACTTCATGTCAACTTAATAAATTTATATGTTTCTTTCACGTAGATTTTTTTAAATAAATCTGAATGGAGATTCTATCTCTCACACATTCTTCTTGGTGACTATTAATATATATGTATCTCGCTTTCGTATATTGTACTTTCCTTTAAGGCCACAAAAGTTCTATGTTGGGAGACTGCAGTTTTGCAAATATTTTGTACATTGATAAAACAACCAGCCAACAATATATCTGAAAAAAATATGAAAGATATAATTATCAAAAATAACTTTGATAACGCGCACTATATGCGCTACACTTACGTTATAAGACATCCAGAGCCAATTGCACAATGTCGCGAATACGGAGTCCAACTAGAGCAAAAAACATACAGAGAAGCGATATGATTGCGAGTGTTTATCAGATGGTAAAAGAGTCATGGCCCAAGTAAAAAAAAAAGAAGACTCACATAAATATAATAACCGCCTAAAAGCCACAGTCCGAAGACTAACTGGAACAAACAAACGAGAAACCATCCGAGAAGCCACGGCAATAACCATCCACGTACACCTTCTTTTATGCCGTAAACCATTAATAAGGCGCTTATTATTAATAAAAGCAGATAAGTGATTAGGCAGCCTCCGACAACTTGCATGGCTAAAAATTATAAGCATTTTTTTTATTTTCTCTTTTTTTAGAGATATGACAATAAAAATATTGTTGAAACTAAGAGCCTCTCTCTCTCTCTCTCTCTCTCTCTCTTTCTCTGGTAATATAAAAAACGCAAATTTTTAAAATCAATTTTCTTGAAAAAAAAGAAAAAAGAATTATTCCACAACTTCAATTTACTTTTACATGAGAAGTCATCATGATTATCGGCACAATCTGCACATATACATCAAGAACGATGCAAGTGTGCTAGTGCGCATAGTATCGAGAATATCTTTGTTAAAAAACAAAATATCACGTGGATATTTATCTTTTTTAAATTTATTACTATTCTCTTTTTATTCTTGAAGCGCTATCATTATATGTAATCTGTGTCATACTTACAGCCTCTCACGTCAGCTTCAAACAACGGATTGTATAATTGTGTGGAATCGCCACCAGCCAGTTGGTAGCATATTAATGTAATTAACACTATACTAATTGCCTGAAAGAAATAAAAAATCGATTATTTTATATATCGACACAGAAAATTCCACATTAAAATTATTCTCTGCTAGATATACTTAAGCATTATCATTGCCTCTAATTTTAAACACTTCTTAATTACAGTCAATTAAAGCACTTACCACTGTGTAAAATGCTATAGCTTTAGAGCCAGTTTTAACACTGTTTGTCCAAATGCACGGCGACCAACAAGATTCCAAAACCGCCATCGTTCACACTAAAATAAAAATAAAAAGTTGAGAAAGCACAAAACGCGCGCCTTAATCACCGACAATGATGATTATCGAGCGGCTGTTGTAAAACTTGGGCGTCGACGTGCGTCAGAGTTACCAACGTAAATACGTTTCGAAAGAATTGCGATTGATCATAAAATTAAATAGCTTACAAAATTGTATTAATCCGCAAAACTAATTCTACATTTAAACAATTATATTAGCATTTATCCTCTGATATTCCCGAGCATCAATTTAAAAAATGCGATAAGAAGAATGCGCCAATAATTGACAGCGTTGGCAGCTCATGCTACAAGAGGCGAAACATTTGGATCAAAGACGCAAATTGTATTTCTCGCTGCATAAATTAGACGAATATTGTTCGACGAAATTAAAAAACGTTCACATTTTATAAACAGACACATCACTATTCATTCGACGCAATATCGACGTTTAGACTTGAGATACAGAGATTGCGCGTTCTTCAATGTCATGACACACGATGCGGTGGCACAGTTGATTCATGTGGTATGCAAGTACCAAGCAATCTTTGAAAATCGCTCTTCTTTCGGTCATACTTACGATTTTTTAGTGAGAAAAAATAATTTTAATCAGATTTTTATCACAAGCGCGAACTGCCGCCACGATCGCCGAGATTCGAGTATTCGAATCGTTTCGGAGTAACAGCAAAACTGGCAAAGAATGCCATGCACGCGTCGGTGGGCATACGGTTAATGGCGTCGTTGGTCATCATTGATGATCCCCTCCACTTTGTGAGCAGCCACAACGCCGACTATTTCTCTTTTCCCAAAAATTGTAACTATATCGATTTACCGATGCTCCAAGCTGCAGCTGGCTAAGAATATCATGCACTACAGCGTGTGATTGCAATTGTATTTAATGTATACTAGATCGTCTATGAAAAAATTTATTTTCAGAATCCTAATGTACTTCTATAATTCGAGTAATATTTTTGACATAATATCGAGATCTTATTAATTATTATATATTTAATTTATTTCTTTTGGATCAAAAAAGATCTTCCTATAATTAATTTTTAATCTTAAAAAAATTATAAAGTCAAAAATCTATGTGATATATGATATATTTTAGGATACAGAACTCTTTCCTTTCCTTCAATATCAAAGCGGAAATCTGATATATTTTCAGCAGAAGAAGAAATAGAAAACGTAAATCTTACTTTTCAGAATTTTGATAGCAAAATCCAATAGAAAAATAAATCTATTTTTTAAATCAATTTATTAAGTATAATAAAATTATTGAGACAACAGTAAATTGAATCGGTCCGTCAGCTGGTAACATAGTGCGACTGATGATCAAATAGAACCAGAAATCACTAATAACTACAGTGTCCCTGCGGCGCCAAGTTTAGAATAAGAATTATTCATATGCTTTATCGTATTATTAAATTTTAAAACAATTGAGTATTTTACTACACACACACACACACACACACACACACACACACA